TAGCCAACTGGATGCGCTTTCCATTGTGGGTTAGTGGGTTTTCTCGACATTTCCCAATACCTTTTGTCTGCGATAGTAATTTACGCACTTTCTCGTCGACTAAAGACATTGAGCTGAATGATGAATTGGAGTTGTTCACTTGTCTTCTGTCGTAATCTCGCTGGCGACCCATCTTTCGCACTAACCTACGCCGATAGATTTAGTTGGATCTCAATAAATGGGAGAGTAAAGTGCTTAGTCGACGATCCTCAACAGAATGATTCAATGTGTAACATACGATGACGCCCAGGCTCATAATTAGCGTTTCCTGGCAACATCTCTGCAGTGTTTCGCATATTTTGTTCATTATAATAACAATGAAAATATTTAGGGATGCAATATCGTCATCATTAGTACTAAAGAATCCCTAGTATGACACCCGTTGACAGTTTTCCTACTCCGACTTTAACGAGAAGGGAACCTACAACTTCGTGAATAATAATTGTAAACCTACTCCAAGGCGTGCAATTGCCTATACTAAAAACCACATTGTTTACAATATTCTACCCACAGTAACGTGGTTTACAATTGTAAACCTACCTACAATGCACCATCTTCTATAGTTTTACCAACACAAACATCAAGCATGTGCCATGTTTCAATACATCTGGGCAAATAGATGCAATGATACACAAATAATATTCTAAAATTACATAATAATATATATTTATGAATTTGTGCCAATAACTAATCATGTCTAGAGTTTATGATAAAGTATGTCGATTACATTGCATTCCACTTCACACATTGGTCAAGTTCTTGAGCTATTAGTAACACAATATTTGACACATACAAACTCAGACATCATGTGACATTAACACCCGTTTGTGAACAGGATCAGAGAATGACAAGAACTTGAAAACAAATTAAATAGAGACGTCAAACTTGGCACATACGTCCCCAATGCAACCCATATAACATGGCAACATTGCAACTAGGTCACAGTACGTGTTTATGTATTTTCGTACTAAATAACTACATGGCAAAAAAATAATCAACACCTTCGCAATCAAGAGAGGTTTTCCATGGGATTCACACAACTTTGCTATATTCGAGTTTGAAAGTCAACGTGCGAGTATGTCTATATGCAAGTGTCGTCAAATTTTAAAGTCTGGTCAGTAACATGAATCAGTAACCATTGATAATCTTGGGGAAATTATCTTAATTAGAAATAAAAAAAAGCTTAGAAAGAACTCCCGTGTGCTGAGAGTATTGGAGACACATTGAAAATTACTTGAACTTGAGATATTGATGGAAAAGCTTATGCAAATAAGGTAACTAATATGAACATATTTAAGTGTAAAACTAATAAGGTCTGCATAATGTAAAATAAATAAGATTTGCGTAATGTAATATCTATGTACCAAGTTTCATTGAAATATGATTAGAACCCCCAAAAAATAATTATTATGCTAATTAGAGAATTAATATGAACAGATTTTAACCCAAAATTAATCGACTGTCTATTGTCCTAGAGCATTTATGTACCAAATTTTATTCAAATGTGATGATCAGAACTTGAGATACCAGTAATAATTAATTATGTTAATTAGGTGATTAAGAAGCATAAATATTTACCAAAAACTAATATGGTGTATAGTCCTAGGTTCATTGAAATGTGATGAGTACTCTTTAAAAGTGTCATTAAAATCCAATAAGTGGTTCTTTAGACATCAGTCAAACAGCCATGGAACAGCAAAAAATTAACTAATTACACAAATTACGTAATTAATATGCACAATTATTTACCCCAAAATTAATCAGGTCTCTGCATAGTCCTAGCAGATCTATGTCGCAAGTCTCATTCAAATGTAATGATTAGTACTTAGATATCAGATAGATTAGATATCCAGGAAAAGCTAAAAATTAATTAATTATGCTAATAAGGTGATTAATATGCACATATATTTACCCAAAAACTAATTAGGTCTCTGCACAGTCCTCAAGTAACTATGTACCAGGTTTCATTGAAATGTGATCATTACTACTTTAAATATCAAAAGCTGAAAATTAATCAATAATGCAAAATAGGTAATTTATATGTACTGATATTACCCTAAAAACTATCAGGTCTGTGAAGTGTAATATGACATCTATGTACCAAGTTTTATTGAAATGTTATGATTAGTACTTGAGATATCAGTGGAAAAGCCGAAAATTGATCAATCATTATGCAAATTAGATAATTAATATAAACAGATTTTTACCCAAAACTAATCAAATCTGCGCATTAGTTCAGAGCATCCATGTGCCAAGTTTCATTAAAATCCAATGAGTGGTTCTTCAAATATCAGTGGAAAAGTCATGGAACAGCTTAAAATAAGTTAATTATCATGCAAATTAGATGATTAATATTCATGGTTTTTTACCAAAACCTAATCAACTCTGCGCATTATCCCAGAGCATATATGTACAAAGTTTCATCGAAATTTGATTAGTGGTTCTTGAGATAATGGTGGAACAAAAAAAGTGACATGCATACATACAAACATACAGACAGGGTAGCTGCAAAGACTCCCTTTTGCACTTCGCACGCGGAAGTAAAAAAATCTTTGTAAATATAATTCCCTTCAATAAATTAAAAACATGTACACAAGCAAAATGTGATCAGATTACAAGATTGGTTGCACATGTACAGCTACTTGGTTATGTACTCATGTACAACTTTCCAACAAGATTAATCACTGCATGCTATACCAAACGACTGTTGATATAACTCTGCTGTCTTTGTTGAGCATCTATCTTAAAAATAAGTTGATAGTGTTCTGTAGATGAGATACATGTATTATCTATTTGACATGGTTATTAGTGTTCCCACTATGTTCTTACCAAGTCACAAAAATGGTAGTTTATTTGTTCCCCCCCCCCCCAAGACAATTACAATTATTATCATCTTGTTACAAATCTCATGGAAGTCAACCAATGAACCCTACATACCAAGTATAAAAGCAATTGAGCTAGTAGTTTTCAAGAAATCGAAAATAAAATTGTTGACGGACAACTGACAATCAACTATATGAACAGCTCCACTCTGTCAGACAGCGAAGCTAAAAATAGGAAGAGTAAAAATACAAAATGGCTACCAGTTTGATCCATACTCAATATGTATTGTCATGTTGAATGGAAATTTGCAGTCATCTCAGAGAACTATTTGTGAACTAACATTTTGGTATATTTTATACTGATTGCTAGTTGGTCAAATTTAATCCAAACAAAAGCAAAACTAACATGCACAAGTCTTTGTATATCAGACAGCGAAAGTCCGAGAAATGGCTACAGACAGGGTTTGAATTCATATGTCAGTTTTTCCTATTACTAAAAACCCATGATGGAAAAGACATAAAACACAGAAACTTCTCAATGCAGATTATATCTATTTTATATTGAATGTTCATGATACATAAAATACATGATAATAATTAACAAAATGACAATAACTACAACATTTCCAATAGTGTTTTATCAAAATTGGTACTCTTTCAGTCAAATTCATTCAAAATACAACTTTTACTACAATAAGAAAATTAAATATCTACAGACCTTTTAATTTTTATAACACCCGGTAACACAATGAAACTGTAAGCCAAGCCAATTCCCATATATCAACTCACACAGAAAATATTAAAGCACCTGTATTTTTCAATACTGGTAATGTTGTTGGGAGGGTAGAGTGATTTAAGGAGAATCATTTGTGAATAAAATTAAAGCTGCCAGTGTAGGTAGGTAGGTAACACATGGTAGAACAGCTATGCCTTCACAATGCCCAATGGAGTAGTTGTAGATTTCAAATATGGGAATACATTCTTGACTAAAGTTCATTGTGTTATGTCAGATCATGAACTTTTAGATCCATCGTAGCATTCTGTTGTATGTTATTACAGTGCCGTTTTTAAGAAAATTGCCCAAATAATAATAGCTCTGCAGATTACAATGTAAAGTAATATTATTGTGTTTTTATCCCGTTTTAATAATTCAGGATAACAAAATATATCCACTATATTTTTTTTTCTCCATGCCATCGACCAAAGATTCGAGATATTGCATATTGTTATACATCTAGCTCTGAAAACCATAAAATTAATTATTCCGCAAAAAAACATTCTGCATTTGTTTCACATCTTCAAATTTTCCCTATATGGTGGAAAGTACACCAACAACATTGACAAGTTCAAAGTTATTGACATCACTTTCAGAAAATTTCCTTTGTTATCATTGAACGCAGAAGTTCTATAGCGTGATGGAACCAGAATGTGATCACTGAACTTGAACGTTTGGACAGAGCAAAATGATTTTTGTTGTCAGTTTAAATAATCAATACAATCAGGGTAAAAATGTATAACAGTTACCACAGTAATAGCGTAAATTATGAATTTCCCATCAACCTCTGCTATGAGTTTGTCAACATATCTGTGATACCCTCATAATAAGCTCCATTATAGGAACCAATGTAAGAATTCTAATACTGGCAAAATGGCCACTATTCACTAAAACTTCTTTTCAAGTCAACATCCCTATATAGGTTTGAGATTACAATATTTTGAACAAATCTGAATATTTTGATTAATGAATAGCCTTTAACCTTGAAGCCACTGTATACTAGTATGTTATTGTGGAGGGATGGCAAAACTGCTTACCCTAGAACTTCCAAGAGTTTCAAATGACTCAACTCTTACCTACATGCAATTCCCAGGACGCAGTGAAGAATAAAACATTTACACAACATTCCAAACTTGGTAATATTTACAAAAACATAAATCCACTTTATACCCTGTAAATAGCATGTCTACAACAGACTTTGCTTGTTTTTCTCCACTAGAACTTGTAAAACCAAACTACATGTATAGTAAACTAAATTTTCCAACACATGACATGTTCTTCAGAACAGCAAAATCTTAAAACTGAAATTATTTGAACACTTCTTCTTTATCTGTTTTTTCTCAAACAATATCACTTAGGTTATGGACACTTTGTAATATGTCATTTGAACATCACTGTGGCATGGCCTACTCACAGTAAGATACAACCAAGTCTTCAATAAATCCGCACAAAGTGACAAGCAATTATTCAGAAGTACTTCAAAACCAGAAGCCATTTTAAGTTTTGCATTGTGGGTAACTTTACTGTGCTTCTGCTACTTTTCTGTCTTCATTGTCTTTATTTTTAACTTTATAATCACTGAGAGCAGCCTTTATAGCATCTTCCGCCAACACTGTAAGGAAGCATATAAATTAAAGTGTTTATACCAATTATACTCAGTAGACATTTTGTGTTTATAATAACACTTTTTTAAAAAAAAATACAGTTACCAATCAGTTCCTGCTTTTCTTATTTTTATCATAAATCTAATACGACAATGTGAAACGCACCTTTGGATCAGGGTTATACAATTCTTGTAGAAAATATGGGAATATTCAGCTAAATAATTGAAAATTATTTTAAATCATGACATCCCACTAGTGACTACTGTATAACATGGTATTTATTTGGCGGAATAATTGGTACACGGTTTTTAGTAACCATGATTGGTAGAATAAAAAATATTTAAAAATACATGTTAAAAATTTGCACTTATAGCTTAAATGAATTGAAATGCTCTGTGCTGTTTTACATTTGTAATTGAAAAATCTTTTATCATGGTTTCTACACTTAAATGGTTTCTACACTGAAACAGAGCAAATAAAACTATCATGCAATTTTGAAACCATGATGTCAGGTCAGTATGACATCATCAACTGAGACAATTCCTAACATCGGGCTAAAATTTGTAAGATTCAATCGAACCACCATTTCCAATTATAAATGATCCAACATCCAAACTGTTTTGAGGATTCTCGAGTGATATACAGAAAATAAACTGATTCTCAAATTGAAGTGTAGCTCTATACGTACTCAATTAAAATGCTTCATTGTATTCATCTGGTGACTTTATCATATACTTATGAATACGCAAGTAGTTGTCTTGAGACACAATGACCTTGAAATCATGATGCACCAAGAATGGTGAATAAAACATATCCGACACCAAGCAAATATTTTAATACTATACAACCTTCCCAAATCTGTTCTAATGTATGTTATCTAGGTATATGAATAAGTAGTACCACAGCTTTCACAGGCACGTTAAGATCACCCCCCTCCCCAACAATTTTCTAGCTGATGAACCACCTTTGATATTCAGCCTTGATGATTCTAAGCAAGAAACTGCTTGGTGTTGGTGGTTGTTGATGTTATTTCTCCAGCACTGAACACTTACTTGAGCAATGTAGTTTAACAGGTGGTAGACTGAGTTCTTTTGCAATCTGTGTGTTCTGGATTTTCGATGCTTCATCAAGCTTCAAATAAAACATATGAATTGAAGTTAGTTGTACATTAAAAAAATGTTTGCAATCACAAAGCCAGAGCTCTCTGCATTCACAAATTTTTAATAGTATGATGCATGTTAGTAGGTACATGTCACATACTACTTAATATGTCAAAGTCCACAAACAAAAGTATTCAAAAACAGATATAACTACAACAGCCATCAATAACTGACTCACGGTTTTGCCCTTGACCCACTCTGTAGCAAGTGAACTTGATGCTATAGCTGATCCACACCCAAACGTCTTGAACTTAGCGTCAATAATTTTACCATTTTTATCAACTTTTATCTGCAAAATAAATAAAGAATTATGCAAGGAGCCGAGCACTAAATACCTATATAAAAGCATAGAGCAACAGAAAGGTTTTCATAGGCAAGGCAAAATTATTCATATACCTGTAACTTCATGACATCACCACATGCAGGAGCACCAACCAGGCCTGTTCCAACTTTAGAATCTGTTTTATCTAATGATCCTACATTGCGTGGATTCTCATAGTGGTCTATGACCTATAAAACATGTAATGACACATATTATAGTATCTGCTTTATCTAACATTGCATTTCATTGATTCTTGGGCATTTCCAGGTTAAATCCAGGTCGCGATCAATGATGTGCACATACACTTTTGATATACAATTTTTATGAAGTTTGGCATTCCATCTTTAAAATAAGAAATTCAAAATAAAAAATGATTTTCACAACAGACATTTGGGGTGCACCCTTCACGCATCTCTCGGGATCTCGTAGTGAAAAAAAATTACTTATTGCAAAAATGGTATGCAGCTAAAGTTCTGCTGTAATTCCTAAGATGTAGAGACAACTTGCAAGACTCATTTCAGTTTGAACACAAATTTGATTGCACAATGTATAGCATTGAAAAACAAAAAATAATACTTTCAGAGACAAAATATTCAATTAGCTGGGGAAAGGAAATTATTTTCCAGTTTCACATAAAGGAGGATATTAACGACATCTCTAATTATCGTGGTATTTCGCTGCCTTCAGTGATTAATTAAGATTTTTACTGAAATCATAAATGACTGCGTAGTAAAGTTGGCTGCAGAGATAACATTGTTGAGGCCCAAGCAGGCTTTCAAAAAGGTACAGTACTTTTGACACAAATGTGCAAGGCCAAACAATATCGTAATAAAAGTCTAGAAATGTAGAATATTTTCTAGCATCACACAATTAGTTTTACATTTTTTCCCCTCATGATTCAGAGCTCTGGATCACACGCAACTTTGGTGACAGAGAAGGAATTTCCTACAGGTCGAACGAGGACAATATGACATCACTGGAGTAGGCATTCCAGTAAAATACTCCATGCATGTGTATATTTGCCCAGTCTTTTGAGAGAAATGTACAAATAAGTGTCTTTCCATGCAAGACGACCATTTCCTGGTGTTTTACCTGTTCCACTTTGCAAGGGAAGTTCTACTACAGAGATGTCATTTAACCAATTAACGTTGTCCTTGATTGACCTCAAGAAAATGGCTGTCACTAGAGTTACGCATGGTTTAGCTACCTAAATCCTAGGAAAAACAACTTAAATGCTTTTCGCACTGGTGAGTGTTTAATAAACATTATTTGCAATATCATTTAGTGTCTGTGGGAGGAACCATAGCTCTTCTGTGTTGATAAAATTTCATTATCCGAAAATAACAAGTTTAAAGAAACCATATGTATCAGAAATGACTAAAATACCATCACAAAGACAACAACCATCACATGAAGATCTATGGACCCAGTTTTGATTACTTGAGCTAGTTCATTTACACTAGTTTATTCAGTTTTCGTCAGGATCACAGGTCTTAGATCTAAAACCTTACTTCAGATGGCTAGATTCAGACTAAACATGTTATAATGTATTGGTAACAAAAGCCTGAGGGCATGAAGCTCTATTTTTAGCTCCATGCTCAGGGTTAGTTGTCAACCAGTAAAACTGTCGTACACGTATCACAAACTAGTAAACCTGAGACTCAGAGCAACAAGGAGAGCTAAGGGGTGAACACAAACTCGTGCATTGACTTGTTAACATAACACAACACAACGTCATACAACACGGGACCGGGCATGGGTCGAGAATAACTTACGTTTTCGTGGTAATTAGCGGTAGGCACTGCTGCTCTGCGACATAATCCCATTCTCATCGTCTGGCACACATGTTTTAGCATTGCCATGATACAAGACTAATCGAACCAACAGTAAATACCTAAATAATCCGAAATTCACACAAGGCTAATTCTAAAACAACAACCTGAATTCCAAAGCTTTCAAGACGACCCAGACACCTGACCACAAACGAAATGAGCCCGATAAGTACGCGCATGTAATAAAGTCCAACAGCTTATTGATTAATACTTTTTAATCATACTTTCAATGGGATTAATTCGATTATAATATTTTGTGTGTCATGTAATCTGACTAACAATGTGTCCTAATTTGCATTCACAATGTTTATAAATTACATCCCGCGCAAGTATACTACGAGGGAAAATGAGATAAACAGGTTGGGTCAAATAAGGTCAAAGTTTAATCCCAGGGTGCAATGCAACACTGATGGCTGACGACGCTGAGGGTAAGTTATATACTGGTACCCGGCATCGGAGACCAAACGAGTGCTTGTCTTTTTGGAATATGTTTATCGTCTTTTTTTTTTTTTTGGCATCCGTCACTACCACTACCACTGCTGGTGCAGTGTCACCTACATAACAATATTAAATTACTGGATTCTCGCTGGATTGTTTGCAGCACTGGTACTTGAATCAAGGTTACTTTTTTAGTAACCGTGATGCTTGAATCAACAAAAGTGTGCAAAAACAAACAAAAATACCCCTATACTGTATAACCCACAATTACAAGTTGTTAAATTGAGAGAATAAATGTGTGGACAAATATTTGAAACTTATTTTGGTGTAGACAAGTCGTGTTTAATTAACTTCCACCATTACAAGTTGTTAAATTGTGAAAATAAATGTGTGGACAAATATTTGAAACTTATTTTGGTATAAACAACTCGTGTTTGATTAATTCCCATAATTGCAAGTTGTTAAATTGAGAGAATAAATGTGTGGACAAATATTGGCCATATATTTGTGAGTAAATACCTGTTGTTTAATTAATTTCCACCTCTACAAGGTTGTTAAATTGAGAGAATAAATGTGTCGATAAATATTTGATACTTATTTAAGTGTAAGAACTCGTATTTGATCTACTTCAACCATTGCAAGTTGTTAAAATAATGAAATAAATATACTGGTATCTTTGGATATTTGATTTAATTGTGAAATTTTCTAACAAAATGGTAACTGCTGACTTCGAACACTCAATCAACAATTCCACAGACACCGTATAAATACCACTATACCACTAGAATGGGTGCTTTGTTTTTTTTCTAATTAGTGTTTCCATAATTTCTAAAATGGTAACGATTCCTTTACAATTTTTTGTTGCTACTGTCAGGTCAGATCTGCATTTCGAATGACTTTTTAGAAAATGACTTTTTTACAAAATAAAAGAAAACTAATATTTTCGACAACCCAAAAAAACAAACGACAACATATGACAAAACAATGTATATTCAGGAAATTTTATGCAATTCATGTTACTGGTATGTATAGAGGATATATAGTGAGTGACCCATTCAGATTTATTAAAGAAGTTTAGTCATTTTCATATGTTCCAAGCCTTTGGCAAATTATGACCCAAGTTTAATAAATCTAATATCATAGGTCACATATTGCAAGGACCAATCAAATTGCCAAGTGTGTGTATAGGGGATGTGATATCAAAAATATCGCTTTAACACGTGGTTTTTCCATGATACATGTAAAAATTATGTAGAAGAGAGCTTCAGATGAATATACTAAATGATGTATCAGTTTGTGGAGCTGATTGATACAAGTGATGTCATGGGATAGTTATATTCATGAACCAAATGTGATTGGATTATACCCCGGTATGGTCATTGACTCCTTTATTGTGATCACTGTCAGCTAGTGCCGGGTAGATAAGAGGTTGGTTTTCATTTATATTGTATAATTGTCATTTTATAGATGTGCCCCCTTTGGAGGATATGAGTGAGGTTTTGAAACAACTTGAACAGGTGAAACTTAGTAATGTTAAAACAGAACCTAAATCTACAAAAGAAAATAAGACCAATCCTCAGTTGAAACAAGATGACCATGGTGTGTCAGAACAGAGCAGAACAGCATCTACATCAGAAAAGGTATCAATTGCACATATAAATAGCTCTTTACCAGTAATCTGTTTGCATGTTACGGTAGTTTTGAAGCATGTAAACTGTAAATAAATTATTTTTGTTGTGGATAAAGTTGCTTGCTTTTATAATGCTTTCTTGGGGTCTTTGCACTATTCTGTGACATACTGGACCATATTCCGTTCACTGTGATATCCAGTGTAATGAGTGAAATTGGACAAAACATGGGTCGTAGTGGCATCAAAACATGTGGGATTCAACAGTTGCAAATTGGGGTACTTTCTTAATACCGGTAATGCGCTATACACATTTAATTATGGTCAATTTGAATGAAATAAAGATATTCCAACACTATGTTGCTCTCTGAAAGATGGGCATTTCGAAATTGATCAATAAAAAGGAGAATTCATCATCAAATAAATTGTTGCTGCTGATATTTGAATTGCATCTTTCACACATTACGCAAGATCTCACAGTGAATGGAAATTCATCATGGATGCATGGATTACTGGAAATATTTGTACATTCATCAGAAGAGGGAAAGTTCAGATAAGCTGAAATTCAGCTGAAAGAAACAACAACACTTTGTTCATATTTCCCACAATTTTTCAAACAATCAGATAATTCATCTATGTCACTGGAACCCAATAAAGCTTTATAAATGATCTTGGAGTGCGATTTTATGATTTTAGTATTTGGTTTTACTTAGGTAATAGCAGGACAATATAGCAGGACAATATATAATAATAGCAGGACAATATATAATAATACAAATTTATTTTTGAATTCATTGAAAATATATTGACAATGTTTATGCATCAGCTTTTGTACAGCATTTGGCTTTTAATGATTTGTACACAGAATGCTGAGAAGAAACCTCAAAAATCAACCACCACCACATTTGCTGGCATGAAGAAAGGATTTCTTTTTGGTTCCGGTGCCAAACCTAAAGAGCAAAGCAAAGCTAAAACAACAACAACTGAAGACATTCCATTTATAAAAGCCAATAACCCATCCATTGGATCAGATAAAGTACAACCTATACCAGAAGTACAAGAAGCACTTAAGAATAGCACTCCACTCTTACAGGATAAAAGTTTGTAGTAGTTTATTTAATCCTGTTTCTATTTACTTAACTCACAGTTATACTCAACAAGTTCTATTTCTTGTGAAGACAAAATAATACCAAGACATGTGGGGTTATTTCTTTGGCTGTTGTGTGTTGTATGAAATAAAGTAATTCTGTTCAGAGATTCTGCTTTCCAGACCCCCTGTATCAGAGAGAGACACCTCCCCAAGTACAAAAAGGTGTTTCATCTATACAAAGAATACAGGTTCAGTTTATTTCTCATCATGACATACTACACAAATTATGTAATAATAACAGAATGCCATGGCCTCGCACTGATGTATGGAAGGTATTTTCGCTTGCATTGTGTTGTGTCCATGCTGTGTCTTCCAAACCCTATAAACATCAGGACAATATGCCATGGCGTTCTGTCGTACTCTACTGAAATATTGAATCCTATTTTTATTTATCTTCTGTAGAGTGGGTGACAGACAGTTTATTATCACAGTTTGAGAATAATCCAGATTTGATGAAGCGCATGTCTGATCCAAGATTTACTCAAGCATTGACAAAGTTCCAGACTAATCCACAAGAAGCCGTAATAGAGTACCAACACGATAAAGAAATGCATAAATTCTTTAGTGATGTATCTGCTATCTTAGGTAAGTGCCATCATCTGCTATTAAGGGAAAAATTCATTTAGAGGTGGGATTTCACTTTTTATATAGCAGAAAACTCCCCTTGCCTTGTCGCGTCTTTTCATGCAGGGTCAAAGTTCCTTTTCAACAGAGTGCACAGTTCGCGGCTTTATCCAAGCATTCGTTCAGGGACATTAGGTCGATTACATGTATTCTCAGGACTTAAGAATCTTCTTCCATTATATTGTCATCACGGCCCAGTTTTTTCATCGAGGCATATTTGTTTCTTCTGTTGTACAGATGTATGATCCCGTGTCTGTTTCATACTCTGAGTCAGACTTTGTCAGGGAGCTATCACTTTCGGTACAGTATGCACTAAAAGTCGCGTCTCCTCTTTGGTTATGATAGGAACCACGGTCTGATTCCTTCAGTAACATTACATAGTGTCCGTCTTTCTTTTCCCGGACCTGTTCTCTTTTTTACTCCACGTGGCATTGTTGTATATAATAAATAAATCTCGGGATACAAAAATAGCTGATATGTTGCGTACGAACGCTGTTTGTGAAACCATGGAGGTAGCTCCATGGTGAAAGAAGTACACAGGAAACGAAACTGGTCTTCCCGAAACATGATTTGCATACTGCTGTCAAGATTTATGCAAATTAAACAGTTAAACTAAGATGGTCGCACATGTGTTTGTTTTTAATAATTTTAAACCTAGTTTATAAGGTGTTCTACTCATAATAGAATATTGAAATTTTCACTCAAAAACAAAGACATTTTCTGCTATGTAAAAAGTAAAAAAAGTGAAATTCCACTTCTAAATGCATTTCTCCCTGCAACGCCACCTTAAGTCGGTTATTAATTTCTTGGATAGTTATGTCAAAACTCCAGCCACCCATTTTTAGTCCGTTTCAGGCATAGCCAAAATGTTCAAACACAGGCAGGCTTTGTACACCATGTATTAAATATGCAGTCATACACCACTGTCGAGAATCTCCCAGTTAGTAGCCAAGGATTTTAACCATGATATTTGACAGATTTATTGTTATTTAACATAATTCAAACACATTTTAACTGAATGCATTTATTTACAAGGTATTGTAAATATCAAGCAAATGTTTCAAAATTGACTACCAATTGTGTACTGCATGTTTGCTTCATTGGTAAATGATTTATTAATAACTAAGGTTTAATAAAAAAGTTATAATTAGTCTCAATAACACACCATCTTGTATTGTTGGTTATGCTGAAATTAAAATTGTCGTTATTTCGATGAGAATTGTACGAATAATAATAATACAAATCATACCTTAGCACCAGTGCAGGCAAATGCACAACACAATTGTAAATATATCAATACACACTGTATATCATTTTTTGGGGGTTTTAAAACATCATCAACTTGTTTACAGTAGCGGTAAACCTGTCTATATTATTTATGAAAAGCCTATCACCACCTATCACCATTGTGTCTACATGTACATACATGATATTGAAAAAGCAGAGTCTTATTAAAATCATGGTTGACATTGTTGATTATTCTAAATGCAACTGTCACCATACTCATTGCCTGGTGTTGATAAACATGTAACATGTATGTAACTTTGATAAGCTTTTAAATATTGTTTCATTAAATCACCAAACAGAACAAAAAGCTGCTAGAGGTCATCTTTTGTTTTTGTAGGCTCACTGGGGAGACAAGTGCTCATCTTTGTTAATTGAATCCTATTTATTTTTTTTTCATAGGGGATCATTTCACCAAACTAAGTGATAAAGAAGATTCATCCAACCCAGTAAAATACCAAAATGCACCTGGAGATGTACAAATACATGAAGAAAGAACTGCTGACATCAAGGAACATAACCCAGCTGCACAGCCATCTCAAGAAGATATTGAAAAGATGCAAGCAATATTGAGTGATCCAGAAATTCGATCCATAATAGAAGATGTGAGAATACAGAAACTGATAGAATCATTGAGAAAAGATCCTGACAGTGCTCAAGAGTAAGTATCTATAGTGGGCACATGTGGTCTGGCCAGCTGGCTGATTCCTAACCTTGTCCCTGATGACATTGCTAGATTATTGCCAGACTGCATTGTATTAGGCAAAATAAGTATCAAACAGTTTTGAACATGTGTCTGATTATATTGTGTGATCAATATTCCCCAAGTTCAAATCTTATTTTGTGACCCAAAGCCATTTGAGGTGAGAATAATGCATTCTGACAGTTGACCTCCATGTGCATGTCCGTCAGTACATCCGTCACTTCCCATGTACATCAGTTCTTATATCAGACATATGCACATGCATTTCTTACATGATCTGATTCAAGAAGCCTACAAAAGCCAAAAATCACGCATTTTGTTTCAAAAAATGCAGTTCTGGATCTATATATTGACATGTCTGGGTCAATCAAGTTCTAACTTCACACATATATCAGACATTATATCAAACATAAGCACACGCATTTGTTTCATGGTCAAGATGGCAGATTGACAGCCATTTTAAGGCCAAAAATGCACTGAAATCACACCTTTTCACAATTCCAAAACTAGATATCTCGGCCTTGCATGGATCAATCAAGTTGAAACTTCAGACATCATATTGGACAAATGCATGTGCATTTTAGTCACTATCAAATCTAAAATGGCTGGCTGGCAATCATCTTGTTAAAATGAATGCGGTTCCACAGATTCGTATTCTCATACACACAGACATCACACATTAGATCTTGTATAATCTTGTGTCTGTAATACAAACTGGGCCTATATCATTGAAAATGACATATTTATGTATGTTCATTTTGTAATTCTATTGTAATGGTTCACTTATTGATATTTTTGTTTTCAGACTCTTGACAAATGCAGATGTTGAAATGCGAATTAAAATTCACAAGTTGGTTGATGCCGGATTGTTGGCGATAACTGCTACTTAATATGTTTATATCTGTCCATTGTAAATTTTTTATAAATAAATAAAAGGAATTTAATGATTATTTTAATCAGTTCTGACTAGTGTTTGTGTTCTGCATATAACATCCAAGTTATAGCATGCCATAATGTTCAGGTATTACCGAGTCTGATATCTCCAGCTATTCGGAGTACACCCAGGAAGGCCTGGTTAATCACACTACATTGTCAACACAGAATTCTGTGTTCTTACTGATTGGCTGTTTCAATGATTTCAGTATATTACCTACATGTGCAGACTGAGGTACACATTTTGGACTGATTTACTATTCAACAACTAAGTTTTGACTGTTTTTTAAATGCTGTTGGTGGCATCCTGATTCTGGACACTTTAATCTTGTCAGCAACGGCATTAAGCAGTTGAAACTTGGTACATACATTAAACACAATGGGACCTTGATACACGTCACTTTATTTTTTTCATCAAGTTCTAAATGGCAGCCTGGTGGCCATTTCATTCTGAAGAATGCCTCAAACAATTATGTTTGAATTTTACACATATGCACAACCATGATCTGATTCAAGACTGAATGGCAGCTACTTAAGGCCAAAGATGTATCAAAATCACACATTTTGACCATTTCGTATCTTGTCCGTTCATGGACAGATTTTGTTAAAACTTGGTAGATATATTGAAAATTTTGTTTTGTTTTAAAGAATGGATCCACATTTCAACTTATCTTCACTGATTAATTTTAAACTTCACACATACATATCAAAGAAATGCTCATTCACTTTTGTCGCCATTAAATCCAAAATGATGGATCTTGCATATTATTGAAAGTAGTTTATTTCATTAACAATACAAAGTAATATAATATCAGGTCAATATAACAGAGGTAATGTTGAGATCTGTTAGTGGGTACATACATGCAGTCATTCCACTAGCAGGGCACTGTGTTGTATTTCATAATGTTTATTTTTTACAAATGCACACGTAATGCTGGTATGTGAAGCATATAAAAGCATGGTGACAACCGTCATTATATACACACAATTTACATAAACTATCCATGGACCATAAAAAGATACAAGTAATAATTCCTGATAAAACTTGAGACAAGTGGTGATGTTATGGATATTGCTGATTGAAATATCTAAAACTTGTTCTTGGAAAGTATCGGAGCATTTTACGAAACCCAACCATGATGGAACTTTTGCTCATTAATAAACAGCCCGTTCATGAGTACCGTTACCCAAAATGATATCAAATTTGTATAACATTTCTTTAACTTTATCATAGAGAGTTTTCCAATTTGAATGGAAATGTTGACGATAACATTAAACACACTGCAATGCATTAAGCAATAATCAATAGAACAATCTTGTGCTAAATTTTTGTACTAAATGAATTGTGTATAAATAAAAATTACAGAATTTTGTAAATGTTTAGATTTGTTATGGATGGTTTTATATTTATTCTGGTAACAAGTCTTCACCAAGTTCTTCATCAGCAAAGTCATCTTCTGCTTTATCTCTTGATCTTGCAGCAGTCTTGGGTCTTTCCATACTTGGTCCCAGTGGATCAACATAGGATGCATCTGATAAAATAAATCATATGTCAGTATGTCTCTGCTGAAGACACATTGATTACACTGGTATTATACATTTAGGGGAAGTGCCTCCCAACATTAACCTGGAATCTATGCACTTTCTGAATTCTCAAAGACCTCTACAATAAAGGCATAGACATGATGAGTCAATGAATTGAATGCAGTCATGGTCAGCTCGAGACAGTAAATTTTATTGGTTGATTGAAATGCAGTCATCAGAAGAAGTCGCAATTATCTGGCGATCACGTAATGAGAATGATATACCCTGTGCTGAATTTAATCTCAACTCCCTTTGTTGGGTGCAGTAAAGTCAACAGTTATTTGAGATGTGTCAGACCCCAGAAAACTCGTAAATTTTATGCTACCCAACACATTATTGTTATTATTTTGAGATAAGTTGGACTGATAAGCTGGGTGATATTCCATTGAATGTCTTCCATACAAACCGAATAATTTGATTTTAAACTTGATTTGAGATACCCTTACAATGTACTAATCAAAATTAACCATTTTTCTATTATATTACTTATTTCACAGGAATTCACTGCACAGAATGCTAGCCCAATCCATGCAGAGAAATGCTGAATTAGGGTTTACTTTACGATTTCATTCAAGACAATAATTCTAACCACCTATTCATATACAAGGCAATGCTGGCATTACCAAAAATAATGAATTCAGTTTGGAGTTGGTTTATCCACAGTCCCTCTATAGAGGGACTGTGGTTTATCCAACATACCGGTATATCTCACGCATACTGAATATAATAGGATTCACATTACTGTGAATTGAAACAATTAACAACCATTGATTTTTTAAATAATTAACAATAAAGAAACGAAAATGTATTATCTTTATAGAAAGTAAATACTATAAAAGACATTGAATCACATGGTGAACCCAAGATTTAAAATGTAAGTTGCCTGTCAGAAGAGTCCGCATATGTGACCTAATAACCTGACATTATTTAAATTTTGTGTTCACCATGTTTAAATTTTTCTGGCATGTTTAGGAATGACATGTGTCAGTTGTGATCCAATCTACAGGGAAAAGTGATTGTAGTGGAAACGCAATTCTTGCTGAACACTGTCATGGAAAATGAATGGGAAAAAAATAAACAATGTCCGCAGGTGATGTTTTAATTTAGTTGTGTGTATATCAAGTCGCATGAAGTGACTGACAGACTGCAATCAAGTATTCAGGTGCTGACTTTGTGTAATATGGAAAATAAATCACCAGCAGACCAGTGACTGAAGTGTAACGTGTTCATATTTTAAATACACATGTGGTAGTTGTACAACCACTGAAAAAATTCAATTGTAACAAGTACAACCCAGAAATGATACAATAAAAACGCTATTGGTAAAAGAAATACAAACAGTTAATAAAGCATTTGATGAGACATACTGTTATTGTAGGCATGACTGTTTTACGGTATTTCCTTTGCCAATAAGTTTGGTGATGATATATTTTCCACTTTATGTTTGTACACCAGATTTGAAAATTTGCTTATAAACCTATATTTTACATGTAACAGAAAACTCTGATGTAATTTATAATTTAATAACCAGAAATAAATAAGGATAATTCTCACATGCAAACATTATTTAAACTGTATTGTATATATAAGAATATTATAAGTACATGTAATAGTAAAATAAACTAATTTATAGTAAATATTAAATTTTGCACTAATTTCGTACCAAGGTCCAGTTCATCTATACCATTTTCTGCCAAGATACAGTGAAAATATTTTATAATAAGTTAGGTGACCAACATATTAATTAGGCACAGATTTGCACCACAGCAGTAAGAGGGTAGCAGCATCACATTGATGGAATTGTTTAATATTCACATGGTTCACTAATGCAGCCAATTAGCATCTAGTACAATCCCATACTCACCAACTTCCTGCTCTTGTTCGTATGGTTCACTCGTATCAGGAAGACCTCTTAGACGCCCACTACTGGAGCGGTTACCACGGGTGCCAGAACGGCTACCAGCACTACTGCCACCACTACCTGCACGACCAGAATCTATAAACAGCAACAACTGGTTACTTCATGAGTCGTGTTAATTTACATTATTGTAAGTTTCACTCTGAAATCATACATATATATCTGTAGCTTAATTAATTATTGCTGTTTTACTCCCACTATGTGAAATATCTGACTTATTGTTATTTACATAGATTTTTTGTGCCAGGTGACATTAAAGATATTAAAGTCACTGCTGTCTCTCCTGATGTTTGTTTTTGTTTTGATGCTAATCGCAAGAATATGTGCGAACCAGTTTCCCAAAGATAATACCATGTGTTTGAAGTACAGAGTAGTGTAAAAACTGCTTAGGTAAACAAACATTTCCTCGAGGCAAGGCGAGCAAGCTAACCATTGTGAAATACGGTATTAATATGCACAATTGTAGGAAATACTGAAAAATCAGCTTAGGTGTGAATCTTTGTAAATCCACACAAGACCCCAATAAAACTATAGGAATGATTTCAGAGTGCAACTTTATTGTGAACAGATAATTAATATAACAAACAACTTACAAAACATTGCCTTATAAAGGCATGAATGGTAATATGAAATGAGATGTAAGATTGATTAATAGTGAAAGGAACAAACAAATTAGTAATCACGGCACACGTACCACTACCTGCACTTCCAGAACGTGTACCACGGCCGCTTCCAGAACGGCGAGTTGCACTATTGGCTCTCTGAAAATGAACAAAATATTCAAAAATTAATGTATGCCAACATGAAAACAAAAAATGTAGATGTACTATAAACAGCTTACAGATCATCACTGAGAAGTATCCATTCTATTCCCCTGGTCCAAGAAAATCATACAGAGAAGTATTGTGTGAGACACGTAGCATCAAAGACAATACTGAGATGTATAAGGATATAAATTTGAGTATTTGGTTAATAACCTTAGAGACGACGTCAAAAGATCGATGTCGAATAAAAAACTTATTTGCTTTAGTTTGGGGGTGGGGTTGTTTGACCTCAACAAGTTTCTATCCTACAAAAACAATTTTATTTTTTAATGAAGTCAAAAAAAATCTTTTTTTTCTATCCTATCATAGACAAAAATAACAGAAAATGAAAAAAAAAAAAAACAAGACGAGAAAACGATTTGGTCCAAGTGTAAATAAGTGCGTCAAATGAAGTCAATTTCAGGGCATGGACCTAGAGCATGTGCAGAACCCAGAAAGTAGTTTGTGCATGCGTATATTCCCCTTCATTATTACAACCAACTGCTATGCCATACTACTGTCCGATTATTAATTTGTATTTATTGGTGAATGTAGTCTGACGCCATGATCAATATTAATCAATTAAGTTTCAGTGGGGGTGGGGGTGGGGGGAACTAAAGGAATTAAGTTTTTTATCCGACATTGATCTTTTGACGTCGTCCTTTATCATACATCTTTATGAACGAACATTGCTAAAAAAT